ACTTGGTATATATTACACATATCCAGAATCCCTGGGCTATGCAATTAAGGTTAGTGTACTTCAAGCACAACAGTATTCGTTGAGGTGTATTTAAAAATAATTACTGTCTGAAATGATTTTCATAATGACTTCCTTAACAAGAATCTTCACATAGAAGAGATATGAGTTCACATTTGCCAGGGGGCAATAAACCTTGGTCCAGGGGCCACTTGTACCTTTTGCAAACTAGTTTCCTTGGTACAGCCCCAGGCTGCCAGTTCAGTACAGCTGCTGCTGCATTACAGCTGCAGGGCTCAGCAGTTACAGCAGAGCCTGTAGGAAGAGCAAAGCCTAAAATATTAACTATCTGGTCCTTTTAGAAAAAGTACGCTGATCTGGATTTAAACTTCAACTATTATCTTTAAATTGTCCCTTTTGTAGGATATTTCAAATCAACCTCACCTAAATACCAAAGTAACAAGAGGAAGATTCATGAAATACAAATCAAGAATTTCAAAAAATTGTCACACAAGGGCAGAATCCTTTTGCTTGAGCTGCACTATGGGTTTATTTTAAGACACAGATCATAGAACAGCATTTTACAGCCTTATACAATGTTGATTTTCTAAAAATGTGGTGCCAATGTTTAAAAAATCAGGCACATTAAAAAAAAACAGGATCTTAACTTTTCACTAAAAAGAAAATAAATATCTGACAACATTGGAGCCACATTGCTATAAGGTGACAATAAAATGAAGCAACTCCACCAACAGAGACTAAGCATGACACTCAACACTGTACACACGTGGCCCATCTCCTAACAGCCCAAAAAATAGAAAAACTAAAGCTAAGCAGAGGGCCAAGGGTTTCCTAACACTTAGCTCCCTTGTTACCTGACTGACTATAGTGGGCGCTGAGTTTCTTCTTCAGAAGATGGCCGAGAAGAATTAGAGGTGTAAGAATCTGAGGGGCCAAAATGGGCAATGGATAACTCAATGCCTGCAAACACCAGGTGCCCCAGGTCTTCTCCATCTTCTAAGGCATCCCTATCCCTATCCAAGGGCAATTTTGCCTGATACAAAGCTGCTTCATACTATTTTTGGAACCTCGTCCAGTCTATAATTATTTCAAAATAAAAAGGAGTTTAAAGCTTTTCCTTACACTGAAAGCCTGTCTTCCTACACCTCAGCTGGTCCTTAATTGTGTGGGACAAGCTTCATCCTCATCCACCAGAAAGTTCTGCCATTACATAGGTGATACGGATAATTCCCACCCATGCTCTCCTTTCTCAAGGACTAGAAAAAGAACCAGACTATAAAGCCTCTCATTCTATAGTTTTCATCCACTCAGCAAACATTTACTGAGTATCACTATTAACCAGGTACTATTTCAGACTCTGGGAGTGTAACAGTGAACTACATTCTTGCCCTACAGAATCTACACTGAATTATCACATTTAATAATGAAGTGCAAGCTGCAGACTACCAATCTTATTGCATTAAATTCAGTCCACTAAATTCCCTAGTTTTTTCCTATATCCACCACTCAAATTATATACTTAAGAAAGTGGGTTATTGGATCCAAATTTTCTTATGTTCCTCTTTGCTATCAGACTCTGCCCTTCTTCAGTGCTGGGTAGTTGCTCAGTGGCAAAGCACTTGCCTAGCATGTGTAAAGCCCTAGGTTCAATCCCCAGTACCACCAATATGTTCCAGCAATATCACTCCTGGGCATATATCCAAAGGAATGTGTTCCAAGAAATGATAGAGTCACTTGCACACTCATGTTTATTGTAGCACTATTCATTCACAATAGCAAAGCTTTAGAAACAGCCTAGATGTCCCACAAGTGATGAATGGATTAAGATGTGGTATATATACACAACAGAGTTTTATTCAGCCATAAAGAAGAATGAAATTATGTTGTTTGCAGGTAAATGTTAAGTGAAGTGAGCCAGGCTCAAAAAATCAAAGATCATATGTTTTCCCACATATATGGAAGCTAGACCTATAAATTAAGAGTATATATAAGTGCATATATGACCATATATATATATATATATATATATACACACACACATATACATACATACATAAATATAGCGAGAGAGAGAACAAGACTGTATTTAGTGGGTCTGTCTAAAGGGACTATGGGAGGCGGGAGAGGAAAAATAATGTTAGAGAATGAAACATACTGAAACCCAACCCATCTATTAATGAATATAACATACTGCACCATAAGCTCTTGAATATTACAGAAGCATGCTGATAGAGAGAAAGAGTAAGTACGGGGTGCTAATTTGATTAAAGCATGATATATATAGGCCTGAAGTACCAAGGTGAAATCCCCTTGAGACTATCAATATAAACTTAAAGAAAAATGAAGAACAGGAAGGTAAAATAGGTCTTTTCTAGGGTGGGTACCAGTGGGAGAGGGGTGGGCCTAGGGAAAGGGTAAATGAGAATGAGTATGGTGGGTGTATTTTGTATTCATATATGAAAACTGTTGAATTTGTTCTAGGAAGGGGGAGGAGGGTAAAGGAGAATGATGAAGGGGATAAATCTAAGATATACCGAAAGCACACATGTAAAGATCAAAATGCATCCCTTTGTACAATTATTATAAACTAATAAAATATAAATAAATAAATAGACAAGCAAACAAATAAAATCTTCCCTATTCTCTCTAATGTAGCAAGAACTTCTGGAACATCAATTACTTTTTCCATCTTAACAAACTCCCAGTCTCTCTGAGTTTCTTGTCAGCAAATCTGACAAACCCATCTCTGTGTATAGTCATCCAAGTCACTTATAAAAATGTTGGACAATGCTGCTGCACTGTATTGAGATGGCTCAGAACTCTATGACACAAGTCAGAAGCATTCATCCACCCAAGGAGATAAAGCTCCACTATCAGTGCTCCAAGGCTTCCCTTGCTCAACAGGCTGTGATCCACCCAACTGTCCCGTCCACACCTTCCTAAATTTCAAATAGAGTATGCGCAACTGTCCCGTCCACACCTTCCTAAATTTCAAATAGAGTATGCGCACCGATTTTCCTTAATCACCTTGGAGGAAAAGGAAAATTGTTTTAAATTTTTAATATACATCTGTTTTTCTTTAAAAAAAAAAAAAGCAAACTGCAATAATTTTATTTCAATGCCAAGGTACTTAAGGCACAGTACTTTACCAGTCTGCCATCATAGGTGAAAACTACATTTTATTTTATTTAGTGAAGGTATCTTAAACACAAGTGTCAAAAAAATTAATTGAAAAGAATGGAGGGAAGCACAGCTTCCCCAATAACCCCAGAAATCTTAATTTGTGCCAATTGTATTTTCAAAAAGAAAATTAGTCTGGGGAGGAGGTGAAAATCATACCACTGTTTGCAAAAAAGACATGCTGTCTTCAAGAAAGTGTACCTAATTATATGAATTTTTATATATGATAGCTTTGGCCATGTTATAAACACAATCAGCAAACTTAATCCTGGAAGATTGTATTCTATTATTAAAGCCAAACTTTCATTTCAACTAAAAGCTTTTGCCTTTAATACAGTCACTTCTGGTTATTAAGAAATGGAAATGTGCTTGAATTTGCACAAGTATATTTGAACTCTAAAAAGTCTACAGTTCACACTGGGAGTCAGGTTGGAATCCTATTTTAAAATGCTAACGTATGTGAATGAGGCATAAAGCATGATATACAAATTAACATTTAGCACTTAGAAGTGAAATACAAACAATAATAAGATAATTCATGAATATGGTAATGACTGCTCCCTGGCACAAAATCTGAAAATACTTGATGCATTTAAGTGAATTTTAAATTTTATATAAACCTTCAGAGTATCATCTCCAAGTTTTAGAATTACCATCCAGCAAAAGTCAATATAGAGACACAATCTGGATTTATGACAGTTTGGCAAAGCTATATTACAGTTGATTTTTATCCTTACCAAGTTTTCAGAAAAGTTTAGCCCAATAACAGTACTAAGTTTATGTGAGTCATGTATAATCTCAAGAAAATAACTGAATGCTTTAGACCTAGCAAAGTATTTACAGAAGTACTGTTACACACTACTTAAATGTCTATGGCTCTCCACGCCTTTTTACTCTAGTAGATATTAGAAGAACCACACTGAAACTAACAAAGTAGGATTTATTACCAAATACTCCAAATTGGGCACTCATCACTGAACTCCCAAATTTCCCTGATGAGCTCATTTAACTTGCCAAAATATATGTCTTTGCATTAAAAAACAAAAACTGCTTCAGGGCTAAGGAAAACTAAGACACAACACTTGACCCTGCCTTCCATCACATATGAAAGTCAAAAGGTTTCTTCGAGGCATTGAAGGTGCTTATCAAGAGTGGCCTTTCATCCTATTTATTATGCAGTCGTGTCCCTGTCACCCTGCCCACCCCCCCATCCGAAGGTCAACAGTTGCTGATTGCTAAGCCACAAAGCCTACTGTCATTCACCTCCCTTCATCTATCATTAGAAATTGTACCACCCGATATCATCTCAAGGGTGAGTACAGTAAGATACTATGAGACCACATTTACGGCCCATTATAGTATATTGTTACAATTGTTCTGTTTTATTATTAATGTTGTCAATTTCTTTTTCTTTTTTTGTCTTGTTTTCTGAGACAGGGTCTCACTCATATCCCAGGCTCCCCTCAAACTCACTATTAAAGTATAAATTGGCCTTGAGTTCTCAGTTTTCTTGCTGCTGGGATTACCGATGAGCTCCACTACACCCAGCTTCTATTGTTAATTTCTTAATCTGTATAATTTACAAATTAAATTTTATCATAGGCAAGTACATATAAGGAAGAAACCTACTGTGTGTAGGGTTCAGTACTATCCCAGGTTTCAGGAAGCTACTGAGAGGCCTTGGAACAAATCCCCCACAAATAAGGGGTGGACTAAAACCAATTCTTTTCTTGCACTTAAGACAAAGCTTGAGGAACTAACGAATGGTAGACCAAGCCCTGTGCCTGCTGCGAACGGCTTACCTGAATATATTTCCGCTGAGTTTCATCATTTAAAACATGGGCAACATGCTTGGAAAAAATCTTTTCCCTGCCAGTTCTGGCGTGGATACCAACCATAGTGACACCAATAGGCCAGGGAGCATTTCCAATGGCCATCTGAAGGTATGCATCATTTGCCTAGAAGGAAAGTGTAACAGGATCAGAAAAGCAAAAATACTGTGATGCTCCAAATTTTCATTTCAAGTATTTCACAGCCCTTTATGACATAATTTTCATCCACTTTTTGGAAATATTGAAAATATTATGTTCTTTTTATTTACATAAGAGATTAAAATATGGTATGACTGACTGCCCTGCCCAAGAACCACAAATGGCCATGGAAAAACAGAAACTGAAGCTAAAGATGTAAAAAAGACAAACATCCTTTACAGTCTTTGCGCAGGTAGTGAATATGATGCACTGATAGAAACTCTAGTTTCGGTCTGCTTCAGAGCCTGTCTTCCCCATAGGTAGCTCAAAGGAAGAGAAAGGCTACCTGAAATTATGCCCTCTCCCTAATAGCACGGCAGACTTCTGGGATCAGTGGGGCCTCTGTGTGCTGGGATGACCACATAGGGCCCAGAACAGATGTGTAAGTGGAGACTCAACATCAGCCCTTTAATGAAATAGCTGAAGGACAAGACCAGGTCACTTTTCCATTTGACCCCTCAAGTCTTCCACCTACCAAGAACCTTAAACCCCACAAGAAGTAAAGAGAGAACCAATGAAGACAAATGGCCCTTTGTAAAAATCAAATCTGGCTAGCTCCAAGGAAGGAGGAAGAGAAAAGCAAAACAGAGAACAAGTAAATTCTAAAAGACACTGAAATTTTAATTTCAAAAATCAAACACGTAAGTGATTAAAATCAAACACAAAGTTGATTAAAATGAACAATGCAGTTAGGTTAACTGAAAGATAATTTTCTAAATAAATTTGAACTTACTCTGCTTAACAGATTTTATAGTTTAATTTCAAAAGGGCATATGTACATTTTTTATCATTGATTCTCATGTGTGTAAATTTTATCACTGGGCCTTCACTGATAAAAATTCCAATATTCAGTTTCCCTAAAATTCCACAGAAAACTGTCCAAACACATGATTAAAGTTTATGGTGCTATCTGGTGTTTCTTAAAAAAACATGTATGTTTTATGTATCAAAACATATCACCTGGTTTTGATATACAATTTTGAGGAATTAAAAAAAGAGGAAAGGCATCTACTCCAGCAAGCAGGTGATTTGAATGCTTTCTGCAGCAGTGGTGACCTTAGCCTTCCACTGCAATGCTATCACACTTAGTTACAATCATGCAACTGGCAGAAACTAAGAATGACATTTATAACCATAAAGAAAAACAGATTTTTGTTGAGAGACCTGGCATTTACAAGGAATAAAATCACTGTTACCCTCATTAGCCCAAAGCTTCAATCAAATAAACCATCCAGTCCCCCAGGAACACAGCAGAACCTTCTTCCCTTTCCTAGTGCTCTGGTACTGTCACCAGGATTGCTACCCTGAAGTCCTCTACTCCTAGCCTCTTGGGATGCACAGCCACTAGAAGTTCCCTCTGCAAACTCTGTCCCCATCTCCACTCCCCAGTACTGATGCATTGGGCCCTTCTCTCCTTGCCCCTTTACCAACTGCCTGTCCTCCATTGCCCCCTTCAAAACTCTCCCCCAGAAGCCCCGAATACCAGGACACTTATCCCTCTGCCACCTCTTCCAGAGCCCATGCAGGAACAAAGACATTGGAGTGAAAACAGCCTGAGGGGTCAGCTACTGTTGCAATACTAATGGGAGAGAAGAATCCTGGAAGCCTTCCATAGACCATTTTCCCATAGAAACTATTACAAAGTGTGGTTAAATTCCACTGTATCATCAGCACAATAGTTCAGCTATATTATAGATTAAATGGCCTTTTATAACTGGTCTGGGAAGCACATCTATATAACACTGTTTCTATGGGAGAATTCATTCCAAGCCATAATCAACCATTTATAAACTTTGAAATTCAATCCCATTCATAAAAATGAACACTGCCTACATACAGCTCATCCTCTGAATAACCTTTCAACCTACTCTAAAAATGACTAAGAGGGCTAGGGGGACAGTTCAATTGTTAGAGCTCTTGCCTAGCATGTAGCAGCAGCACACAAAAAGTTGTAGTCTGAACATTTGTTATTCAGTGCCTAACAATAATGCTGAGAAAACAATAGAAAATAAAACTTTTTTCTGTTTTATTGATGTTCACTTCAAATTTATTCTTAAGTATACTATGTAAAATCCTCCCATCCCAAATGAACATATTATATATATTACCTAGACCTACTCATAATAATTACAATGTAGTGCATAATAATGTACCTTCACATATTCTCTCTGCAGCATGAATTTAATAATATCTGTGATTGATTCTTTAATATCAGCAGGAAGATTCTGGAAAAGAGAAAAAAGCATAACAACTTTGACAGCCACTATGTGTAGGGAAAAGCAGCATTTATTCTACATCTATATATCCTAATTTTTAAGAGTTGGTTGATAAAAGCATTTGAAGCCTCACCCTTTTTCGGAGTTTTCTGAAAAGCGGTCTGAGATAGGACTCAGTCTGTTTCTGAGTAGCACTGTTCAGTTTACCTTGCACACTGCGTTTTACATAATCTTCTCTGGCATTCAATTCTTTAGCCCAAACACCAAGAAGGAACTGTTGAAAGAACGGGTAAACTGAACAACAATGCCACCCAGTGGTTTAAGGAAGTGCAAAAGCTCTCTAACACAAACAGTACACTATCATCCTTAAGGTAAACATGCTGGTTAATTGAAATAGTCAACCATTCCTAGCTATTTGATTAAAATAAGATTTTACTGTATTTTTACTTAAAATTCATCCAATCTGGATTTATCATCCACGATACCATATATCATGGTATCATGATACCAAATATCACGGCACTGTGATATTTAATCAGTCCCTGGGTTTAACTGCATAACTGGAACCCTTTCCAGGGGTAGGCAACAGTGAAGACCAATGACACACTCCTCTATGCACAGCTATGTGAGGAGAGGCCACCACTCAAAGAGGAAAGTTGAGTTCATACCAGAGCCCATGCTATCTAGTTCTTCACCATATCCTCAATATATTTCAGAATCTTAATGACTGAAATCATGTGTTTAAAATTTAAATACAAATAAAAGCATTCCTTGCGTTTAAATCTCTTAAGTCTGAACCCAAATAGTTTGTGAAATAACATTTAAGTGATCCCAGGATTTACCCAAGCCCTACCTAGACCACTAAAGAGAGAAATGTTGACAACAAAGATGGAATTAGCAAATCATAACAAAAAAAGGCAACTAGATGTAGAAGTAGGAAATGAACCTACTTTGAAAGGTTTGAAAGGTTATGTGCACTTTTTGCACTGCCAATGCCCTTTCTTTACTTTCATCACCCTCTCATAAAGCTTCTGTAAACCCTCCATTGCACTCCTTGCTAGGGTGTTTTCAAAAACTAGAAAATTCCTCCAAACTTCTTGTTCATTCTGCTGTTGGGATTCTTTTCTATGTACTTACATTACTAAGCCAACTTTCAAGAAAAGTGCAACTAAGAAAGTAAATACCAATTTTCTTTCATGAACTGCTACTTTCAAGTGCATACTGGCATCATAACATAGCACACACACAGCATTTAGTGAGAATTTCCCTGTCCAGATAATTCAAAAAATGGCTTTAAACATTCAAAATGCCCTTTTCCCTTTGCCTGTGATACACACCTTCAAGAATTTGGTGATGATGTCCATGTCTTTGTGATCATCGCCTTTCCCCAGTGACTCCCCCAGTGCCTAAAGAAAAGCACACTTCTGTTCACTAGCACACAGTGACAACCTAATGTATATAAACATGTGACCAATACCAGGCTAAACAAGGCTCTTTGCCACATAAATTATTCAATTTATATTTAAAAATCTGGGAGTTTCTAGACAAGTTAGGAAAGAAAACCCAAAAAACCCAGACACTGACTTGCCACCTATATTTAGAGAGCACGCTATCTTTTATGAATCAAAAGACAAAAGATGAGACATGAGACTTCTCTAGGAGAACAAAAATATTCTAAAATTAGATTGTGATGATTGCACTTTGTGAATATTATTAAAACCACTGAATTGTATACTTTAAATGGGTAAATCCATATGGTATGCTTATATCTCAATAAAGCTGTAAAAAAAAGAAACAAGAGAGAAGAGAAACAAAGAAGGGAAGGAGGAATGAAAGGAGGGAGGGAGGGACAATGACAAGGAGGGAAGAAAGAAAGGGAAACAACTGGCTGCCTCTGCCAGTTATTTCAATAAAATTTAGGGACCACCTTAGAAAGGTGATGGGGGAGGCTGGGAATTAAAATGACATCCTTCTCAACTATGATCCCAGTATTACAAACCACGAAAGGAAAGAGAAAAATAACCACTTGTGCTGAATTAAGCATTTAAAATTTTAAGCCCTATTTTTTACATACTAGACCCTGACACAATACAATACTGCTTTTTAATTAAGATTCCACATATCACCCCACATTCAACATAATGGCAAAATTGGCAAGCTAGACACTGCCACATATTGGCAATGGTGTAAGGACACAGCCTCTCATATGCTGCTGGTGGGGATGTAGACTGGGACAGCCATGCCAGAGAGCAACTTGGTGGCACTTAACCAAGTTAAATACACATTTAAATATATAAATCATTAAGGAGGAGCTAAGAATAATCCAGCTATTCATCACTCTGGGAGAACAAAAGTAAAATATAGTAAATGCCATAATATATAGCAATTAAAAGCAAAGGATTAAATCTACCTAAAGCAGCAAGGATGGATCTGAAAACAGTATGAAGTAAAAAGAAAACTGAAAGTAAAGACTATCATCATTTATATAAATCAAAAATACACATATATAAAACACAGCAGGCATGAACACCAACAAATAAAATGATGCACATCAAAGATGGACTGCTTATGAAGGTGTGAAATAGAAGAGTATGAGTGAATGAGAAAGAGAAGAACAAACAAACCGAGGCAGGAAACAAAAGGGTTTTTACACTTAGATCAGCTTAGCCATCTGCTCCTGGGGAGAAGAGTTGATAGAGAATGTGTAGGCTGAATGTAGGGATTACCTCTAACTCTTCAATGGTGGTATTTTCTTCATGAACTTTCAGATCATTCTGTGTGTCTTCCTCTCCAGGTTCCTGACCACCCACAATCTCATTGAGGTACTGTTGATCGATTTTATCCAAAGCTGCTTTCAGATCATTCCTCAAGCCCTAAGAAAGACAAAAAAAGAAGCATACCTATTATGAAATTTCACTCATGTTTCACATTTGATTTTTCAATAAGTATATTTCATTTTTTTTCCACAAGGAGTTAAGAACTTGGCAAAACTAGGAATTCAAATAACATCAATATATTATACTAACAATAATAGTATCATCATTGCCACTCAAAGTTAATTTTTATAAACATGTTTTGATTAAAGGAATGAATGTATGCACAATGCCCAGTCTGATGGCAAAAAACAACAACAACAACAACAAAAACAATGTGAATAACAAACCCAACTTTGATCATTCATAAATGATATAACTTTCTACCAAGGCTTAGTGAAAGTGAAAGTGAAAAGTGACCAGGTCTCCACTGGAATCCTCCATCTTCCCAGTTCACTTAACATGTCTAGCCTCATTTCTACTACTCTGGACTCTTAGATATTCAGAAATGTCCATGGAACAAAGCTGATGTCTCATCTATGTGCTAGGCTATCAACTTTGTTTCTAACAAAGTGGCAAATTCCACATTCCATGCATATCCACTGGAGACTACTTAAGGAAGAAATGGGAGGTTCCATTTCCTCAAGATGAACAAGAACAAGTATGAGGTTTAAGAGCATGGAACCGTGGCTATGAGATGGTTGTCATGTAGTAGTTGAGAGCAAAGACTATCTAACTTCAAATCCTGGCTACTTATTGGCTCTTGGATACTTTACCCCTGTATGACTCAGTTGTCTCATCTGTAAAGTGCCATCTACTATGTTGTCATAAGAGTTATATTTTTATTTTATTTAACATTCACTATTACAAAGGACTTGCAAACATGAAGTCATTTAAATGAGCTAATAAATGCACAGTACACTTTCAACAGTTGCTGTAGCATACCTGCTAACTCTTAATGTTCTTGTATTAAATCATTTTCTACTGTCCTTTCATAAACATTGAAGAGAAACACTCAACTCAAAACACTTTTAACTTATCGAAAACTGACTGAATACTTGCTATATACAATGTATAAGGCAAAGGGCTCCAAAAGATAATTCCATTTAATTCTCCAACTATCCCAATGAGCCAGATATCATTGCCTATACTTTACAAATGATGACTGATAACTGTAAGGCTCTAGTGAATGAAAACACTTATCACTGGTCACTTAACTAATAATTATAATCCAGACCATTTGCTCCTGTACTCTTTCTTCAAAACCTCTATATGCAAGGCACTAGACTTGACATATCAAAACAAAACAGCCCTTGCCCAACAGGAAGACATAAATAGGCACAAAATTCTAATACTAGTGAAATATTCTAAATGCATTAAGAATTTTATTATAGGAGCACAGAGAAGGAAGCAATTACTTCTGACTGGGGCCATGGATAGGTTTAGAGAAGAAATGTAATCTTTGAATTGCACCTGAAAGAAAAATGACAAGATTTCAACAGAGGCATAAAAGAATCAGAGCAGGCACAGGAAAAATGATCATTATAGATATAGAGGCCAAAGGTGTTCAGCAACTATTAGTGCCATGGGGCTGGAGTGGCAATGCTGAGAAGCAAGGCATGAATATGGCTTAGCAACAAATAAGGAAAACAGTCAGGAAGCCCAAGGTAGCAAACACAATAGGGAAAGAGGTGCCTGGCCAGCATTTAGCCATTCCCGCCACACCAGATGAGATCCAACTAAGTTGAGTACCACTTTAAGGACCAGTGCAGAGGAGTCTATAGATGACTTCAAACATAGCTTTCATTTGACTCCAGTCATATCAAAGACCACAACAAAATTTGCCAAGTTTAGTCCAATCAAACCACAAAAGTGAGAGAGGTGATAAATTATCTCAAATTATTCAGTAATTTGGTAAGTTAAAAATAACCAAAAAAGATTCTACACTAATAAATTGTTTTATATTACTAAGTTTTGGGATGGGCTGTTATACAGCCATAGGTAATCAGTTAGATAATAGTTAATGAGGTCATAGATGTTATGAAAAACATTATAATTGATATTTATAGAGCTATATAATCAAAGTGAAACACTCTTTTTAAAACATGAGCAAGCCAGAACGTGAACTAGTCTAGAGGCAGAGGTTGGGAGGATCAAATTTTGAAGTTAGTCCAAGCAAAATGTTTGACAGACCCATTTCAAACAATAAAAAGCTGAGTGTGGTGACACATGCTTGTCACCCTGGCTATGCAGGAAGCATAAATAGGAGGATCGGTCCAGGCTGGCCCAGACATAAACAAAGGACCCTATCTGAAAAATACTTAAAGCAGAAAGAGTTGAGAGCGTGGCTCAAGTGGTAGAGCTTCTGCCTAGCAAATGTCAGGCCCTGAGTTCAAACCCCACTAACTCCATTAAAAAAACAAAATTAAAACTATTAAACTTCTAGAAGAAAATACAAAAGAATATTCAAAGATTTCTTAAGCATAACACAAAAAGCAAAAACAATAAAAGGGAAAGCTAGTCAATCAAACTTCATCAAAATTTAAAACTTCTAAAGCCAAGCAACAAATAAGGCACAGTGGTGCTTGCCAGTAATCCAGCACTTGGGAAGGGAAGGCAATTAGATCAAAAGAAGTTTGAGGACAGCCTGGGTTACATAGCAAGGTGCTGTCTCAAAAAAACAAAAATTTAAATATCTGTTCAGTAAAACTCTATTAAGAGACTAAGTAAGTCATAGATTAGAAAAAATAGTTACAAAACACATTTTGAATATTTAAGGAGCTCTTAAAATTCATTAATAAAAAGGAGTAATCCGATTTAAAACTGGACAAAGAAAAGTAAGTTTATAAAGAGGTTCATCACCCATCTTTAGTCATCAGGGAAATGCAAATACAATCAGATACTGCTACACATACAAGAGATCAGTTAAAATTAAAAAGACTAATGCTGACATTTAGAAATGTCTGGCATTTTCATAAAGTTAGGTATATATCTTCTTATTATTCAGCAATTCCACTTCTAGGTATTTCCCTAAGAGAACATATTCACCCAAGAGAAAAAACAGGCCCAGAAAAGACATAGAAAAGCCAGGTTTTTCGGTACACGCCTATAATCCCAGGTACTCGGAAGAGAAGACTTGGAGGATCATAGTTTAGGGCTAGTTTGGACAAAAAGTTAGTAAGACCCCATCTCAATAAATAAGCCAGTTGTGATGGCCTGTGATCCCAGTTATGCGGGAGGCCATAAGTAGAAGGGATCACGGTCTAAGCCCGGCCATGAGCCAAAATGTGAGACCCTTACCTGAAAAATAACCTAAAAGAAAAAAGGGCTGGGGGCTTGGTTCCAGTGGTAGAGCACCTGCCTAGCAAGCACATGGCTCTCAAAACTAAGATTTATATATGAATGTTCGTAGTGGTTTTATTCATATTAACCCAAAACTAGAGACAAATGTGGTACATTCATATTACTGAATATAACTGGGCAAGAAAAAGGAAACTAGTGATACCCACGATAGCATGGATGGAGCTGCAAAATGTTATGCTGAGCAAAAGAAACCAGACACACACACTGACTGTATCCATGTGAGATACTAGAACAAGTCACATTTATCTGTGGAGTTAGAATTCGAAAAGGTGGTTGCTTCGCAGTGGAGGACGAGGGATTGGGGACTGACTAAGAAGGGGCGCTGGGCAACTTTCTAGGGTGGTGAAGATAGTCTATGTCTTTATAAGGGCAGTGGCTATATGCTTGTATTTGTCAAAAATGCACTGAGCTACACATTTAAGATGCAAGCTTTTTATAAAACTAAAGAAAAGCTGCCTTTGGCAGCTGTAATCTGACAAGTTTATTTTTCCAGTTTTACCTTAATAATGCAATTAGCAAATGCCATACCATTGCAGGTTATGTTGCACAATGATATTTCTGTAGCTTTGTACTGACTTCTTACCTTGTTAACTTCTGGTGTGAGGATCTCTATTTTTCTTAAACGTTGAAAAGCATCATAGTCGGTTTCTCCGAATAGTCTAATCGGTTCTCCTCTTTCTCTCAATCTTCTGATAACCTATAAAAAGAATGCCCAGTAAATTATTTAACTTAACTTACTGAAACAGGAAAAACACTAATCATCTCAAAACAATTTGCATATATTACCTTAGAATTGAAACCTGAGTTTAATAAAGCTAATCTAACTATCCAAATACATATTTCTGAGTGAAATATAAAACCCCCAAGTATTTTAATCATTTCAATTTATACTAAACAAAAATGTGAGTGAAAGAGACAGTAAATTATTTGAGTTAAAAATCCACTCTGTTATAAATTTTATTACTGAATACTTTCTAGAAAATGGTCTGATGTGTATCTACAATTCAAATATGAAGCAATGCCCTAATGGAAACTATTCATATTTTGTATGACCCACACACATAAAACCTTACTCGTTTGAATGTATGAAAGGGGATATACTTTTGGCCCTCATTACACATTAATTATGACTGCTTAGCCCACTTTTTAAAAAAAATCAAGACAACAGTAATTCCTTGTTAACACATATTTTAGGTGACCAAATGCTTTGTTTTGAAATGTAGATGCAAAAAAGTAAGTTAATCTCCCAGGAACAGTTAACACCTTAAATGGCCATAACAGCTGTTACAGGTAGGACACTAAGATGGGAAAGAAGAATAGCATTGATGCAGCAAAGGAAATCAAAATTGGGAGTCAGCTGATAACTCCAAGACCATAATAAAAAGCAGACACTGCAATACTGTAAAATCCAAACCTGGTCCCTCAGAGGAGAAAGTGACATGAATAGAATGATTGTACACTGGGCTTTTGACGAACAGTTAATACTCGACTTCATGGGTTCTAATTTTGTAATTGTCCATTATACTGCATATATGTTTTATACACTATATATGTGTTATATTTCATTGAAAAAAAGAGAAACAAAAAATATAACTAAGAATGTAAAAAGGTTGTTGCAACTTAAAAAACAAACAAAAACAGTGACATACCTAGAAACCACTGTAAGGTGGTTAACAGAAGCATGGGAGTAAAATGGAAATGTTAAGACATCATCATTCAACAGTCAATCCATGCATGCAGAAATGACCTCAATACTGTCCTGTCAGATCCCTTTGTAATAAGTGACAAGAATCACATCTCTTCATGAAATATCCTATCTCATTTTTGGACATGTATGTGTTGCTTCTCAAAACTGAAATCTATCTGCCTCAAACTTCTGTTTCCTAGTTCTATTTTATGAAACCAGAGAAACTTGCTCTTTTACCAAACTTAGAGCTCTCTTCAAATGATTTTTTTTAAAGTGTCTCTACTAATTCTTCTCTTCTACTAGGTATTCCACATTCCTTCACCTAGTTTTCACATGGTGGCTTCCAGGGTCAATAATCGTTCCTCTGAAGGTTTCCTTTTTACAGTGTCCATCCTTAAAATGTGGACTGTAGAACTAAACAAAAACTACCATAATGTGTCAATCTGTGAGAAACACAAAACAGCTAATCTTCTGATTTAGATATCTAAAATTATTATTCAACCCTATCCACAACCAGACATGTACAAAACATGGACTGCTAAGGACTCACAAAGATTAAAAGATGACTGCTCAAAAGAGTCAACCAAAATTAAAAGAACCTAAACAGTGAGCTACTTATCACTTAGAATATTGCTTAAAATTTGTGGCCATTATGAGAACTATGTAATATTTTTGGATATCCACTTAAATGGATAGTTCTTGTCTATCTGGGATTATACAACAGTGGTTCTGCCTAAAGGGAAGGAAGCAAACTGGCTTCAAAATAGTGCAAGAATTCTATTTTTCTAACTTTTTAAATAAAGAAACTTAGATACCAAAAAAAAAAAAAAAAAGTGATACAGAGACCAAAAGGTCCATCAATGAAAAGATTTAAACTTCTGAGTTCTTCTTTACTTGTGGCAATATATGTTCCTTCAGTGAGAACAGAATCTATCTTTTTACATTATTTTTAGTATTTAATTGATATACAACTATTTATCAGTAACAAGGATGCAACAATCTGGACTCTCACAAAAAGAGCAACTTATTAAAAGTATTTTTGTCTATGTAGAGTGCTTGCCTAGCAATTGCAAGGCCCTGGGTTCAATCCCCAGTATCCCAAAACAGGAAAAAAAAAGAAAGAAAAAGTATTGTCTTTTAGTTCAAGCATTTCAGTATTCAAAGATAGATATACAGTAAATTCTAATATACAAAACTTTTTTCTAAGTCAAATAGTAATAAAGCTCTAAAATATCTGACATGAGGTTTTAAATATTTTTCTAATTATAAAATTCATGCTCATTTTAGATACAAAATTAATTAAAATATAAAGGAAAACTATAAAATAAGAGCTCATAAAGATAGTGGGAGAATAACATTTTTTAACTCGTTCCTAAAAGCCTAACAAAAAGAAATGTTTGATATGATTGTGTAAAAACTTAAATTTTTTGCATGTCAAAAACAAATGACTAATAACAAACATGTACCATACGCACATGAAATATATATACTTATGGAAATAAGTTAGCACCTAACACACAGACATGTTGATTTACAAATGAATGAAGACCAAATTCACACTAGAGAAATAGCAATTCACAAAAAAGAGAAATCAGTGACCAAGAAAACATCTTTAACTCTAATGATCACTAATAGAAAGTTGCAAATTAAAACAATATACCTTTTCACCAATCAGTTTGGCAAAAAATTAAAGTAATAGTAATACTGTTTTCAAACTGATAAGGACTCAAACATTTTATAATAAGGAGGTGACAGTCACTACAAAAATGGTACTTGTATAAATTTACAGGCAGAATGTAAACTCTCAGAGCTTCTTTGTGGAATAATTTGACATACCATCAAAAATTAAATGAATGCTCTGTGTGTGTGTGTGTGTGTGTGTGTGTGTGAGAGAGAGAGAGAGAGAGAGAGAGAGAGAATGTGAGAGAGACAGAGAGAGAGTGTGGTACTGGGGTTTGAACTCAGGGCTTCATGTTTGCTAGGTAGGCACTCTTACTGCTTGAGCCACTCCACCAGCCCATGAATACACTCTTTTGACCAATAATTCTAGGAAACTGTTTTATTGATAAGTTCAAAAAAAGCAACAAGGTAAATGTAAAAGGATGTTCACTTTAGCATTATTTGTAATAGCATACAACTAGAAACGAGCTTACTTCTAAACACTATTCTCTTTATGTAACACCTCCATATGTTATCTCATTTAATCATAGAATCTCATTAGGTAGCCCTTACTATTATCCTCATTCATTCAAATGGAAACCAAGAATAAGAAACTTTGAGCAACTTGCCAATGTCACACATTTACTGATAAAAATTTTCATATACAGTACACATACACAATCGACCCAACAGAAAATGGGCTTCAAAATATATTTTTAAGTAAAAAAAAGCAAGGCACAAAAGCATAGAATCTCATCTGTAGTAAAGGGAAGAAAAGGTACACCTTTGTACTGATGCTTGTATAAGTGAATGACTGAATAGTAGGACTGGGAACTGACAGGGAACAGAGGAACAGGGGGAATACGAAGGACAGAAGATAAGAAGAAGAGAAAATGTTCTGGCATATATTCATCTATGTAGTTTGAATTTCGTATATCACATCGATATCCTAATTTTTTTTGATAAACTAATGGTTGGTATTCACCGGGGTATGGCAACACTACAGGTGAGTACATAAGTAACATCTTCAAAGCCATTTGGTACTGTGCACAAGAAATCTTTAAAATACACTAACTCTTTGCTCTAGAAATTATGCTTCTAGAAACCTTTCTAGAGGAAACAGTCCACATGATTACGCTTGTGATGATGTTGGTACATCTTAGTATTATGCATAACAGAAATGCTGAAGCAATCTAAAAGACCAGTAAAAAAAAATGATTAAAAAACATTTCTATCTAACCATTTCTAATATTTTTTTAAAATATTATGGTGCAAGCTATATAGCCATTAAAATTATGTAAATCTCTACATTTTAATCTGGGAAGATGTAGCAGTAAAGGAAAGGAAGATACAAAACAAAATTATACTATTTAAAATAACTTTAGTATTGTTTAGAATACATGAATTTATATTTATTTAGAATGTATGTGCTTATTATTTAAAATTTATAATACACTCTTTAAAAAAATACTACAAAGAAAAGAAGCTGACATTAATTTAGAACCTCATGAAGAAAACTGGCTACACAGGATTTTTAGGTAAGTCATCTTATGTGTCATGTAACTTGCTCAAACACTGTAAAGATTCTTTTTTGTCCACAAAATAATCACATACAAACTTACCTCTTGCCTAGAAAGAGTCATGGGTAATTTTTCTTCTGCCAGTTCAAGTTCTAACACTGGATTAGATGAAGTTAGTGGTTTCTGGTCCTCCTCTTTTGGCTGTATCTATATGAATAGCCAAAAGAAATGAAATTCAGTTTTAAAAATAAAGTTCATGTTTGTCATTCTATCAACCTAGCTATTCACAGATTTTAAGCATGTGTAAATACTGAAGGTTTTCTAACCGTTCCTATGAGGAAAGAGCTTATGATAACTGTACATGCTTTTAAGAGCTAATCAGACATACCCATCTCAGGAACATCACAAGTAGAAAGCATGCACATAGGAGAGAGCATTCCTGCCACGAAAGAGTGACATCACTGTAATGGTTTCCAAAATCAAAACCCATAGTGCTGAAGTCTGCACTCACTTTCCACCCAGATTCTAAAGTAGTACATTTTTCCTTTAAAAATCTATCTGCTTCTCCTCAAGAAAACTGTTACAGGGCTAGCTGTTGCTCCGCTTTAAGATGCAGACGAAAGAACGACTCTGCAGCAGAAATCTGTAAAGCTTCTGGCTCTGCCTTTTCCCCATTTTGCTTCTTAAGAAGTACCATTTCACCTTCTGGAGAAATTGCTATTGGCTGTGTAGAAAAGTTCTCAATACTGTGCAGAACTGGCCCACAAGCTGAATTACAAATCCTTTAGAAAAATAATGAAAATGGCACCTCTGTTCATGCTACTCAAGATAAAAATGACATTTTAGTTCACACGAACCTACAGCGCCAAGCCTTAGAAATGGAACTAGTTCCCATAATGGAATTAAAGAAATTGTCACCACTACCAAGAGGGAAATATTAAAAACACCTTCAGAAACAAAAACTTGTGCTTACTTTTCAAGCACATAAGCAGGAATTTCTCCCAACTTCAAAACTAAAAGCACTTTTAATTCTATACTGGCAGCTCAGACCACTAAGACATTTTGTCAGCTGGACTCAAAGTTACAGGCCATATCGCTACTGTAGTTACTTTGCTGCCTGCTTCCCTCTACATAAGCAAAAAAACCCTACGCACATCACTGAGATAATCTATACAAGGCAAAAGCTACCCCTGTGTCAAACCTATCAAAAGGTTGAAAAGGTTCAAATTTAGAGATCTGAGAATGCAACAAGTCAGCAGACTAGGCTTGTGGTAAATAACTCTTATTCTAAATCAAGCTTAAGTTAGACAACATTGGGCAACCAAAATAGGATACTCTTCTTTCTGGGTATCTATTCAATGGTTATTTACATATGCCTTATTTTAATTTCCTACACTAAAAGCAAATGAAATCAGTATCTTTATGGAAAACAATGAAAATACAAATATAAACTTTCAGATTTTAAAAAAATCTACCAGAACTCTATTTGTCTTTAATACTTGCTCTTTCCCAACCCTACAGAATAAAGCCAAATGCATATGCACACACCATTTGCATTCCTCATGCTTCCTTCTAGAAATTCTATGCCACGCAAACTAATTTCCAGAACCTTTTCCATTACATGCACAAGAGTATTACTTTATATTGATGATTCACAAGCAAAAAGTTGATTTAAAATTTATGATTTAGTTTACTATTCCAACAGAACCTTAAAACTGTGAATTAAACTAGATATAGTCACCTTTCAAAATAAAGATAACTTCTCCACCTTATAACCTTTAACTCCTCCCAATAAAAACCCCAGTACATTATCAACTAGGTACTTTCAAAGATATTTCAGTCATGCTTCTCAAACATACAAACAAAGCCTGTCCAAAAACTCATTTGTTTTTAAACAATACTTCAAAGGTACACTTTCTAACCATCAACAAAGCAGTATCTGAAATGCTATCCCTTAATACAATAAAAGCATATAAATGTATATAGTGCTATATTTTGGGCAGAGGTACTTAGGACCCCAAAGAAATTACCAATAATGCAAACATAAAATCAATGACTTAAAATTTTCAGGAGAAAGCAGGGACAACACCACTGCTAATATCACTGTTGCTGGGTGAATAAATAAAGTATTTTAAAATCTTTGTCGGGAAAGGTGGAGGAGAGGAGTGGTGGTGGAAATGAAAGTAAGGCGTATCAGGTTCAGGACTTAATTTAAAAAAAAAAAAATCAAGCTTTGATCTCAAGCCACTTCATGCTGTCCACAAAAAGCCAAACCATTCCAAGCCAAAAGTCATGCATGTATTTTCCTGAATTCAAGATTTCTTTTTTTTTTAAAAGCAAAAACTAAAAACTCGTACCTCTCCAGATGGCTTCTCATTTATAGGCTAATGTATAACATTGATAAATTGAACAGAGATCAATAATTTTGTTATTTAACAAAAGCTGTATAAATTTAAACTCAGAAATACACAATTTCACATAAAAGATGGCATTCATACCTTATAGCCACACCGCTCAAAATATGCTTCCTCTTCTTTTTTTGCAAGTTCACTTCGCTTGAAATATTTTTTATTTTCCTTAAAGAAAACAAGTAAGTAAATGATAAGTCTTTGGGCAAAATTTCATGTCCCATAGTCATCAAGTGCTTTTAGAAACCTTTCAAAAACACTCCTAAATTTTTCAAGAATTTAATGTCTTTTGGTTCCACAGATAATCACTTTGGGTGCCTGTTACCACCCCTCCTCCCCACAGTGGGTCTGGATACTGATGAGTGACAAATATTGAAGTATTTTTTTCTTAAACTATTACTTTAATAGGTGTGGCTAATAGCAGAGAGAAGAAACCAACAATATTTGCCAAATGTTCATTTTTAAATTTTAATTTCTTAATGTTTGAGTTCAAAGATGATTTCTATAATGGATTATGAAACACACAAAGGAGTATGCTTTATTTTCTCCTAACAGAAACAAACAGAAATTATGTCATATATATCCACCTTCTGAAATCTCATTAATAAGAGAGCTGTAAGAGTGTTTCTAAATTCTTTTTGTCACTTGGAATTTTAGTATATCAATCCTTAAAATAATCTATATATAAAATGGTCTTAGTGAATCAAGGACATTTGTTTTAATATGATTTGATGTTAAGAGATAGCACAGCTCTAAATCTACTGTGGTTAAAAAGATGTTAGTTTATTTATACTCTGTGAAATCTGCAGTCTAATCGGTAAGCTTGTTATTACATGCCACTCTACCTCGTGGATATATTTCATTGATGACTTTGCTCAAATAAAGATACTGCCCAACTTTAGTGAGAGTAAAACTAACAGAACATCAGTAATATCTCCCACCATTATGTACTACCTCAGTTCCAAAGCTCATTCACTTAGACAGTGATTGTCAATAGATGCTAAAACTAGAAGAAAAGTTTGAGGTTATTAATGAGAAGACTGGGTTGCCAACATGTGAATTCACTGATTAAGCTTGGCACTAGTAAAAGGTAATGCACTTCCTATGTAATATCACAGAAAGGACACAGAATCATCTATGAAATACTCTTCCCCACAAATGTAGGGTAAGAGGAATAAGCTAAATGACAACACCAGGAAACAAACAAATCCAGAATACTGTATAAAATGAATCCCAGTTTCTCCAACAAGTTAATTATATGAGGAAAACAGAAGGAGCTGGAGGAATGAAATGTTCTCAATTAAAAGAAAACAAGTCATAATAAGCAAATGTAGTTAGTCCATTTTGTGTAGATAACATTTGGTCAAACCAACTGTAAAAACATATATGTTGTTACATATATAATATATATACACATATGTATTTGTCTGGGGATATCTGAATGTGAGTTTGATGAGATTAATGAAGTAATTTTAAATTTTTGTTGGATGTGCTCACATTTTGGTAATATTAAGACGTCATTTTTTAGAGATACATGGGTTAGGGCAAAGGGTACATAAGAGTTCATTACACAATTCCATTTTTGTGTATGTTTAAAACTTTCAGAATAAAAATTTTTTTAAGTTAATTAACTCAATAAAACATTTATAAACTTACCTACCATATGCCAAGAACAGCTCTACAAATACAAAGATGAGGATATTACTAGAAGTTGATAGTATCATCTGAATATCAAACTACCATGGCAAAGGCAGTGGCAAATAACTTATACCCCTGAGAAAGCTGGAAATTAGAAAGGTTAAGTAACATTCTAAAAACTTAGTAAGACTGATGAGTAACAGAGCCAGGACCAGAACTCAGGTCCTTAAATTCTTTGTACTGATCTAGTCTTCCAAACTACAGTTCTTGACTCCCCAGCATCTCAAATTATTCCTTCTAACTATGTAGTAAGAATATAACCATTATATTTCAAATAAATAAGTTGATAAGCATGTATTAGTGTTCTCTCAAAAAGGGCTGATATGTAGGAAGTAATAGAACTATCCAGGCCAGAGTCCATGGTCCACTCACAATATTTCCAACTATCATGTCTCAATTTCACTGAATACACCCAATAAAACTTAAGCCCCAGAACATCTCAAAATATCCAGGAATCCTTGGGAAGCCCTACAGTGCTGCTTTACACATGTTATTTTTGGACTCTATCCAAGCTGTACTCTCTGTATTAAAAAACTAAGGATTCATAGTGCACAAACTTTCCAACATCACTTGAAATGTTTGCCTACCAAGGATGATAAATCAAATGTCAAAAACAACATGCAGGCTGGTGGCATGACTCAAGTGGCAGAGTGCTTGCCTAGCAAGTTAAGGCCCTGAGTTTGAACCCCTGAACTGCCTCCCCTCCCAAAAAAAAGAATCATGTTTTTCAATATTAATTTAGAATCATCATTCCCTCAAATAAAACTCAGATTTTTAGTGTTTATGTAAATGGCATAAAAACACCACCAGGAGTCCTGTAAAAAGACACCAAGAACTAACAATGTAAAGCCTGGATATGCAAAGTAAAACAGTATGTGTGAAATCACAAATCATAAGGCAGGGTCAATATTCCATACATGTTGGTATATACCAAATAATAGAGCACACGAATATACACAATTTAAAGAGACACAATACTTTCCAAAGTGGAAAATCACAAAGTATCAGTGAATCCTGTTAGAGAGGATATATATTTTTCAGTGATGTCAGTGAATCTCAAAAAAAAAAAAAAAAAAAAAGAGGCTAAATAACAGAGGCAAGCAAGACAGAGAACATACCAAATGATTCCATTTCATAAAGTTCTAGAAAATGCCATATAATGTAAAGTAATCCAAAGCAGCTCAATAGCTGCCCATGGACAGGGTGGAGATAAGATTCGGCAAGGGCTGGGTGCCAGTGGTTCACATCTGTAAACCTAGCTACTCAGGAAGCAGAGATCAGGAGGATCAAGGTTCAAAACCAGCCTGGGGAAACAGTTCTGTAAGACCCTATCTCAAAAAAGACCTTCACAAAAACAGCTGGTGGAGTGGATCAAGGTGTAGGGTCTGAATTCAAGCCCCAGTACCAAAACAAAAAGATTCAGGGAGGGGCAAGGGAGAGATTACAAGGAGGCACAGGACACTTATGGGCACCATGGGTATGCTCCCTCTCTTCTCTGTGTACATGCATAAAATTCACCAAATTATACACGTCAAATACATATAGTTTACTATGTCAAAGCTACTTTAAAAACAAAATTCCACAGGCAAATAGAATTAGAAGAATGCGGGAGAGGAAGGGTGAGGGGAAGCAAGAAAGGAAATGGGTGACAGAGAGGGAAAAAAGGGAAGGAAAAGACAAAAAGTAGTGGTGGTATTATTTACATGATCTGATTTTAAGATGTACCAAAATGCTACATTAATCATGACAGTATGACACTGGCATAGAATCAATAAATACCTCCCTGGAATGAACATAGCACCCAGAAAATGGAGCCACACTTACATAATTTATTTAATTTTTAATAAAGATATAAAGGGAAAGAAAAATATTTTCAACAAATTGTAAAGTGAATACCCATAAGTAAAGCAATAAGCAATAAACTACAATCCCTACCTTAGAGCATACAAAGAAAAAAAAAACTGGGTCAGATTAAAAAAAAAAACTCCCCTAAAAACAAAAACAAAACCAAAAAAGATAAAAACCTCCCAGTTATTTTTAAAACCATAAACTTTTAGAAGATAATCTTTGCAATTTACTCTTGAGTAAATGTCTAAAAGTGGAATGGGTAGATTATATGGCAGGTGTATGTTTAATGGCCAAATTGTTTTCCAACTAATCGCAATATTTTATATTCCCACACAGGATGCAGAACAGGATAACCATAAAAAGTTGACAAAGTGGAGCCGGGCATGATGCTTAAATCCCTGCATTCAAGAGGCAAAGGCAAGAGGACTTCAAAATCAAGACTAGCCTGGATGATGCAGCAAGGCCCTGATTCAAAAAAGCATTTTTTGACAAAACTGGGCTTTATCAAAATTAAAACCTTTTGCTCATTAAAAAGACACTACTAAGGAAACGAACACATACCCCACAGTCTGGAAGAAAATATCTGGAAATCATGTACCTATGAAAGGACTGGTATACAGGATACATAACTTCAACTTAATTTAAAAAAAAAACTAACCTCATTTAAATATGCAAACAATTTTAACACTTCACAAAGATAACATAAATAGCTAAGAACCACAGAAAAAGTGATTGACAGTGTTAATTAACTGGAAGATGCAAATTAAAACCACAATGAAGTACCTCTACACCAAAAAGACTGACAACGCAAATTGCTGGCAAAGGGTGTAAGCCCACCCTCTTCTACTGCTGATGGATGCGGATCATGGTTGGTGGTGTTTTCTAAAACTCAACATATATGTATATATATATACTCATATGATTTAATAATTCCAAAGAGAAATGAAAACGTGTTGCTTCCAAGAAGATTCTTGGAATCTTTACTCATAAAAGCCAAATCATAGGAACAGCCCAGATCCTCATCACTAGGAGAATGGATAAAGTGAGTCCATTCAGACAACAGAACTCTATTTTAGCAATAAAAGGATAAGTAACTGACACACACACCAAATGACTAAAACTGAAAACGTTATTCTATCAAAATGCTCCACATAAAAGAGTACACAGTGTGATCCAATTTGTGTGACGTTTGGAGCAGGTAAGACCCAGGGCAGAGAAGACGCAGACAGTGGTTGCTTATAGGGGTGATGGAGACAGCGACTAACTAGAAAGTGGACTGAGGGTACCACTATAAGCCTTGAAGATTGGGTTACAAAGGTGTCCACATTTGTCCAAAGCCATTAAACAGCAAACTAGATTTATGCACTTCTTCATACCAGGGTCCAAGTTTTTGCATACACTCAAAAAGAGCTGTAGAAGCAAACATTGAACTCTGCTTATTGGTAAGTTAGACAAATTGTTTGAGGGTAAAGCATGCTGATACTCTGAACCTGATTACATAACAGCCAATAAATTATTTTCATTTCCCTATCTGCAGCTGAAAAACACTTGTTTATGTAGTTTTGCTATTCTGACAGAGCCACTTCATCTTTAGTCATTTTACAAGGTGCACCAGCTTTTTACTATTAATTCATGGTAGCTGAAATACTGTAGTGACTAGCATGTGAACACCCTTCTGTCAAACTGTAGAAAAGCTTTTAAAATATCCTATCATCTGTCCTGAAATGTTCTGCCTGATATGACTATTCTGCAGTGAATGTAGTTTCTGCACTGTTAGACAGATTGATGGAATGGTTAGAATGATGGACAGATGGAGAGATAGGTGATAAATGCAGCAAAATGTTAATTGTAGGTTTAATTGTAGAATGTAGGTTGTAGACACATGGATATTCACTACAATTCTTTTATGTTTTCTGTATGTTTGAAAATTTTCATAGTACAATGTTGAAGGGAAAAGAATCCACTTTGTAGCAGATGTCAAAATACAGTATCAATGGCAACACTCCCCATAGCACTGCTTTTCTGTGGCAGAAAGCTTTCAAAGGCTCCTTGTTGACTACTACCAAAAGAGAAAATGGAGAGGATGACAGAATACCAAAGGACAAGTTCAAAGAACTACAAAAATGGGAACAATCCCCAAGAGCTGGAGCACAGAGAGGTGGCAGTCACCAGTATAGACATGAGTAGTTCTGGCTCTTTCTAAGCCAAAAATCCCTCTAAACATCATAAGCAGGGGAGGGAAGAGAGGGGACATATACACATATACACACTAAAGTTTATATAAAATTCACAGAGCTGATGGATAGTCTAAAATCTAACCAAAGGCCCTGTTTAGGTCCTCCAATCCAAATAGTAACACACACCACAGAGGGGAATACAAGACTTAATAAATACTCAGTGTGAAAGGAAAATGGCAAGACCTGGACTTTACGAAACAACCCTTTAGGGAAGGCCCCCCTGCCCCCAGCAGCAGCAGCAGCCTGTAAGGGTGATCAAGAACCTGAGAAGAAGGGAAAACAGGAAGCTGTGTTGTACAAGATGCCCATAGAAGAGTGAGGGGGAAAAAAAAAAGACATGTCAACAATGTCAATCACTGTCAGATGAATTCGTCGGACATGGAGGTCATTTGATGTCCCTGATTAGAGTAGATACAGTGTAATGACAGAGGCAGAAGGAGTAAATGATAAGGAGTGAATCTACACCTAGCTGGATGAAGACTGGGTTACACAGGTGTATGCATTTGTCAGAATGCACAGAATTAGAATTTATTTTAAGAAGCTGGATATAAAGAAAAAGAACAGTAAATCAGATATGGTGGCACACATCTGTAATCCCAGCTCTCAGGAGATAGAGGTAGAAAGAAGAATGGAGAGTTTGAGGCAACCATGGGCTACATAGTAAATTCAAGGCCAGCCTGAGCTACATGGTGAAACCCTGTCTTGAAAACCAAGGGCAAGGGCTAGAGATTGCTCTGTGGTACAGTGCTTTCCTAGAATGTGCAAGGCCCTGTGTTCCATCCCCAGCACCAAATGACAACAACAACAACAAACAGTCCACCAGCTACAGATTTGGTAATGAAAACTATTTATTGATCCCTGACCAGTCAGAAGTATATCTATATATCTTTCTGTCTGTCTATCTATCTATATAACTATCTCAGATCAAAATATTAAAATGAATTTCTTATTATGGATATAGCAGTGAAAAAGTTGGAAAGTTTGGAGGTTTTTTTTGACAGCACTGGGGCTTGAACTCAGGGCCTCATGCTTGGTAGGCAGGTGTTGTACCACTTGAGCCACACTGCCAGCCCTGTTTTTGTGTTGAGTATTTTCAAGATAAGGTCTCGAGAACTATTTGCCCAGGCTGGCTTTGAGCCAAGATCCTCCTGATGTCTGCCTCCCGAGTAGCTAGGATTACAGGTGTGAGCCACCCTTACCTGCAAAAGTTGGAAAGTTATTGATGAGCACAATCATCTAGAAAGGTAAAAGCTGTAAGGTAACTGATCCTGTGTAAAATCATATAGCTACAAGTGAGAAGATTATCTCCCAGTGCACAAATATGTAAGATGCGTGTCTATTGTACAATAGCAATCACCCACAAGGTGGTCTGAGACTTGAGATCTATCCTGGCTAGCCACCAAAAAAAGTCTCAACTTCATCATCCACGAAAACAGCATAGTAACACCTACTTAGGCACTAATTAGAGTTGTGAGGTTCAAATAAGATAGTATAATGTAGCACTTTGAAAAATACAAGTCACACATGTTAATTTAATTTTCAAGTGCTTCATTTCTTGTATTAATCCTATCAAAACTGGTTCTATGTTCATAAAATGAGTAAAAGTAAGTATTCTAACTCTAAAACAGAGCAGACTATGAAGTGGGATAGACTAGGGTTCAAATCCATGCTTTATCTCCTGCTAGCTGTGTCCCATAACTCAGGTAACTTCTCTTGGCTTCAGTCTCCTCATCTGCAGAGAGGAGTACCAGTATTGTTAAAGGAGTTGCTGTACAAATTAAATAAGATCACATATGAAGCATACTGCATAATACCTAGGTTACTTCTAGTCTCAATTTTGTTTTTGTTTTCGGTTTTGGGGATGTCTTTTGTCGTCTGAGACAGGATCACACTATGTGTTCAGCCTCCACCTCTCAGGTGCTCCTGATTCAAAATGCTTGGAAACCAGAAACATTTTGATTTCTTTTTTTTTTTTTTGATTCTAGAACAGTTGCACATACATAATGGAATGTCTGGTGGATGGGACCTAAAAACAGGAAATTCATATATGTTTCATACACACTTTACACAGAGACTGAAGGTAGTTTTATACAATACTTTTAGTGTGCCTGTTTTGAAAATTCCATGAGGTCAGGCGTGGATTTTCCACTGTGGCATCATGTTGACACTCAAAAAGGTTTGACTTTGGATTACTTCAGATTTCAGATTTTTGGATTAGGGATGCTCAACCTATAGCAAAACCATTAATTTTATTAAGTCTTGATTCTTAGGAGGTATGAATACAGCACATTTCATTCACATCAAAGCAGGATGGTTGTCTGGAGGAAGAACAATTGTGCAACTGAGCTGCAAGCTAAACTAGTTGCCTTTTTTATGAAATACCACTTTGTCATGAACAAAAGCAAATTATATTTAGACTTGACCATTTGTCAATTTCCCAAAACTGAACATAGTGAGCCTATCACCTCAAGAAAACAACTGTACTTGTTGCCTGGGATAAAATCCCAACTTTCAAATGAAAAAAGTTCTGGGACTTAGATGTCATGCATGTCAAGCCATCATGCACTTGACAGATTCCTTAGTGCTTAAAGAGCTTACAGAAACCTCATGAGATCAGTGAATATTAAATAATGTGATTTTTATTTTGCATAATGAATGAAATGGTGTCAGTGGTTGGGAGACCTGCATAACTCAGTGAAGCAGTATTTCCCAAATGAGAGGTAAATATTTAAATATTTTTAAAGTTTCTCGGTCTACCTTCTATCTATTCGGTAAACCCTGATGGATATAACACATAAGCAAAGGTGCTTTGGGATCCTCAATAACGTTTAAAAACATAAAGGGGTCCTGAGAGCAAAAGCTCTGAGAAGTGGTGGCCTATATCGCTACTCAAACTGATGGAGATGGACTTAAGGAAGTCCCTCCTCTTTTTTAGTTTTTAATATCTCTTAAAAATCTGAGCCCGCCCATCATTCAGGACGGCCTGTGAACTTTGCATGTGTTGGGGAAGAGGAGGGACAAAATAAAAACACTGAGTTTTACCAGTAGAAAATAACTTTTTAAGAATTCTGAGACTGCCTTTCCTCTGTTCCAGGGGGCACAGACCCTTAGCAAGACCACAAACGTGAACGATCGCAAGAATTGGGGCGATCGAAGAACCGCAGGTGAGTCGGTACAGGCGACAGGTGTGGAGGGGAACTTTGGGGTTCTCTACGCTTCCATCCTGAGGTCCCCGAGTGAAGTGCACCCCGGGAAAGGCAGAGCTGACGTTTACCCCATGCCTGCCCCAAATCCCCTGAGTACCATCACCCCAGCATCTCCCCCACACACAGCCTCATGACCACAGGATCCTCACCACCAACAGGTTCCTGTCCTCCACCAGCTGCCGTTTCCGAAGAATCTCTGACTTCAGAATGTCCATCTTGATGCGGTATTTAAGCTCGAGTCTCCTGCTCCCGCTCCTGCCTCCGAAAACCCACCGGGTGCAACAAGCCCAGCTACCAAGAACAACAACTGACGGCGGCCACTTCCGGCGGAAGCTGGGGTGACAGACAGGAGGAAAGAGAGCGCCCCGGGACGCTGTGGTTGGAGAAGCAGCTGTGCGTGCGCGCCCTCTGGCGGCGCCCGCCGGCAACGCACCTGCAATATGCTCTGGTGGAGAGGTACAGGCCCTTGGGCTGAAACCCAGGACTTCTGAACCGTGTTGAGGTTAATATGCTCATTTTTTAACTGTGTTATACCCGTTTGTACCTGCTAGTCAAGTCCAAAAGCTTCCTCGTAGAACACCTCAAATAAGTTAATTTAGGCAGAGCTTTACTAGAAGTTCGCGTCAGAGTTCCTCAAGTTTTTTTGGGTTTTTTTGTTTTCTGCTTACCAGGAGGATTAATGTGCTAGATAGAGTGAGAAAAACCTATATAATAATACTAGCTCGTAAGTATAGAGTAAAAGGCTATTGTTATTTGCAGAATCTGTTGAAACTGTTCCAGGAATGGGGGAGGAGAAGATAAAGGAGAATGATGGAGGGGTGAATTCACTATGGTTATTGTAAGAGCTTTTGTAAATGTCACAGTGTGCCCTCAGCACAACCATAATTTTTAAAAATTAAATAAATAGATGCCCTGTAGAGTTAAACAACTGCTAGCATCATCATTTTGCTTATGCCTTTGGCAATCACAATTTTCAATGACATGACCACAGAATTTTAAAAAACATCTAATCCAAGAAGAAAAATTAAATTGGGAAGGAAAAAATGTCTGTTTGTTTGGTTTTGATTTGCATTTTGAGACAGGATCTCACTATGTTGCCCAGGCTGATCTCAAAGTCCTCTGGTCTCAAGGGATCACCTTCTCTGTCTGCCAGTGCTGGGACTACAGGCATGCACCACCATTGATTGGCAGAGATTTTTTAAAGCTCCTAACCACCATTTATAATACATTTATTTTGGGTTCCATGCCATGGAAGCATTTCTTTTTAATTTTAGTTTTGTATGTGAACACTTGTTGACGTTAGTTTTTTCCATTCACAAAGGAAATACTCAGTTCAGCCAATTGATAATATCAAAATAAAAATGATAGAGAATTATTCATTCAATTTAGGAATTTTATAGTGTTTGGGGGGGTTATATTTTATCTAAAAGATAGCTGACTTTTACCAGAAATAAGCCAACACGGGAAGTTGATTAACTCTTTGACCTAAGATGCTTAGCCAATCTTTAGAGCTTTTGAAAACTCAACGTGTTTTTACAAAAGAAAGGTCCTTGAATCAAATATGGTAACATTCTTGCCTGGGCACCTGTTTCTAGGGTCACTTACAATTCAATAAGTAAATATTTTCTTAGCATTCTCCTTACTATAGGATTAGAGATTATAACACAAAAACCTGAAATGTTGACTTGAATGATAGCTACAGTAGTGGGAGTTTCCAAACCAGGTGGGAAACTTTCACTGTGAACCCAGGAAAGGAGGAGCTTCTTTTAAATTTCAGACTTTTTGTTGATTTTGATGTTTATGCAAACATGTACATTAAATTATGATGAGGTCTGAGGTCAAAGAGTAAAAGCAATGAACACTTGAAAGAGCAAACTCATGGGCAAGCCCATCCATATAGAAGGGGCAAGATGACCAGAGAGTTTAGATAGTCTCCAAAGAACCAATCACCCCTGCCTCTAAAAGAACGTATTTATTTTAAAAAATACACATCCTGTTTCATTACAATCATTATTTCAAAAGTGAAATATTGGATATAACTCAAAAGGTCCTAAATATGGTAATGGTTAAATAAATTATGATTTCTACATAGAACTCAATTATATGGAACCACAGGTTTGGGGGTTTTTAATGTTTATTTGTTTTTTATTATCAAATTATTATTATGCTGGGGGTATATTGTGACATTTACAAAAGTATTTACGATATATCTTAGTTAAATTCACCCCGTCATCATTCTCCTTTATCCCTCCTTTCCCCGTCCTTAGAATAGTTTCAGTGGGTCTCATTTTTCCATTTTCATACATGTGACAAAACATTTCCACCATGTTCACCCTCCCACACCCTTTTCTTATATCCTTTCCCCTCCTACTGGTGCCCCCAGACAAGACATGTTTTACCTTTCTGTCCTCCATTAAAAAAAAAAAGACATTTTTGTTTGTTTAAGGAGTTTATATAGGGAGTTTCATTATGACATTGCAATGTAAGAACCATATTTTTGAAATAAAGATTTAGAAAACATATTCAATGAAATTCCCAGTATCACAAATAATTCAATGACATAGTGATATAAAATTATGATATAATGACGATTTCCAAAAGCAGAATAGTGAAACTATAAGCATAACACAGTCTCTGATATATAATAAAACAGAGATGTAGAAAAATTATTAGATAGAAAGAAACGTGCCAAAATACCAAATTGTTATCTAGGCAGTAGGCCAACTAGTGAGTCTTATTCCTCTTTTATATGCATGGAATTTGGTAAAATTTCCATAATTTGGAAAAAACCAGATATCAATCATTTTCTGTTTTATTGAATACTTACTAAAATTTTTTATAGATTTTACTGGCATACCTACTTTAGAAGTTACGTATGATAAATTTTAAATAATGCCTATAAAGGAATGCAAAGGATTAGAGAAAAAAGAATATTTTTAAACTCTTCATAGTTGTTGAGACCAATATTTCAGTATTATATATGGGCTATATACTACTTTAGGTTCTGTGGTCTAAACTGAATTAAAAAAAAAAAACATAGTCCCTACTCGTGTATCAGAAAGCTTGAAAATCATGAAGTATATGCTGGAAAGTTAAATTATGTTAGATGCATATGATTTAATAGTGTATATGGGGCCATAATAGTCACAGAGATTAAAAACAGTCTTCTTCTGGAAGAGGAAGAAGTATAAATCAATATACGATTGATGAGATTATTCTTCTGCAGGAGTAATGCATTCTAAGAAATTATTTGTCATCTCTGGAGACCGGAGGGAAATACCAAATTTAATCAGGATGACCTGGATTTGTCTTGTTGCTATCTTAAAGGCTAAAATCTAACTTTTTTTAAAAAAGAAAAAGAAGAGCTGTGTATTGTAGAGCTCTTAATCTGTAGTGTGCCTTGGAACAACCTGGAGGAGTTTTTGAGTCATAGCCTGCTGTTCTCTATCTCCAGAATTTCTCATTCCATAGATCTGGAGTATGTCCCAAATTTGCTTTTGGAACAAATTTCCAAGTGAGGCAGAAGCTGTTGATCCACAGACCACACACTGAGAGCCTCTCTGGTCTATCATTTTGTGATCTCTGTAGGGAGCCAGAGTGGGAGAGTCAGAAATACAGTGTGTATGGAGTCTTGAGAGACAGAGTGGAAGAGAAAGAGTGTGTCCACGTGTCTGCGGTGCTGACATTCCCAGCCCACTCAGAATGACATTTCTGGGGCTCTCCTAAATGGGAAGGGGGCAGGCTCATTCTGGATCCAGCCACATATACATGATTGCTTTGAACAACTCAACCATGGCAGACATCGGATCCAGTCTCAGACAGAGTCCCTTTGTAGAAAACTAGAATTGGAATTGTGTCAATCTTTCCAACACGCATGAAATAGAAAGGTGAATTTGAGAGAGGTAGATCACCATTTCAGGAGTATGCTGGAACCAGGCTAGTCCACACTGACCTACAAGAGCTGGCTGTTAAATTTTCAAGAGTTTTGCAAATCAGTTGTCAAAGATAGCCATTATTAACATGAAATGATATTATAAGCAAAGGTAATAAGTATGCAGAACCTGTTACTAATTCTGGTGGAATTGTTTGTGTTCTTGAGTTTATTTATGACTGCTTGTGGCAGTGCTATCTCATGGTGTGCTAGTGCACAACCAAACCCATACTTAGGAATGTCACAGTGATGCTCAAAATCAGCCATGGTTACTTATTCGTCAGTGTTCTCCAGAGAAACAACCATCAGGCTATGTGTAGACGTTAAGATGCCACTAGACTAAGCGAGGTTATTCCCAATAAACCCATCATAAATTGGAAACATCCTCAAGTAAAAATGCATTTGCTAACCTAGGGTATTTAGTACATCCTAGACAGCAGCACTGTATAGTATAGAGAACTGATTATTTCTCCTTGTGACTGTGCGGCTGAATGGGAGTTACTGCCCAGTCTCTTGAGAGAGTATCTCACCATATACCACCAGCCTGGGGAAAAGCTCAAAATTCAAAGTACCAAGTGTGGTTTCTAGACTGTGTATCACTTTTGTATCATTGTAAAGAATGTTACATCTAACCATCATAAGTGGGGGTCTGCTTGTATCTAAGAGATTTTCATGGGAATTAGCTCACATGATTATGAAAGCTGAAAGTCACACAGTCTGCTATCTACAAGCTGTGGAACTAGAAAAGTGGGTGTTACAATTCAGTTTGAAGCCCCAAAACTGGGTGGAATTAGGGAGGGAGATGTTGCTGGAAATCCTGGAGTCTGGAGACCTGAGAACCAGGAGCTCCAAAGTCCAAGGGCAAGAGAAGTTCAAGAAGAGCTCACAGACTTACCTAGAAATTAATGTTTTACCAGCTATCTGGGCAACACATAAGGCCAGTCAAGTTAACACATAAAATTAACCTTCAGAGAGGGAATATTCACACCACAGAAATTGGCAAACACTATAAATCAAAGCTTGTTCTAGGCTGAGCACTGGTGGCTCACACCTGTAATTCCCAACTAGCTGAGAGGTTGAGATCTGAAGGATCACATTTTGAGGCCAGCCTGGGCAAATAGTTCACTAGACAACCCTCCCCCACCACATCTCCAAAATAACCAGAGCAAAATGGATTGGAGGTGTGGCTCATGCAGTAGACCACACCTGCTTTGTAAGCGTGAAGTTCTGAGTTCAAGCCCCAGTCCCCCCCACACCAAAAAAAAAAGACTTAGTCTAACATTTTGTGATGAAAACCTTTAAAAGTTTATGGAGAAAATGTTAATACTGAAATCCGTGTTTTCTCAACTGTGGGCAGGTGAGTATTTACTG